GCTAGCTGTTCCATAAAACATCGTCCATTAGCGTTAATGCGATGATATAAGGCAGCAAAACTGTCATGTACAGTACCACCCGCCAAAAGGAAGAGACTGAAAATATCGTGGACAGAAGACAGTTTTTCGATTCCTGGGGGTTTCAGCTGTACGATCTGAATTTGCCCTCAGGGAATCCCTAACAACATCGCCAACCACTTTAACCTCAGTAAAGGCCAACCCGTTTAAACAGGGTTGTATCGTTGAAAGCTTGCATGATTATAGTAATGGATATAAGAAATGAAATAGAGCAAAATAACATAAGAATGAACAAAGTGAGTGGCGGGATGAACAAGAATATTACCAGGAAAACTTGGTGCAAACGAAATGGCCAATTAGAACAGTCTTGGAAAATATCTATGAGAGATACAAAAAGATCTTACCGATACTAACCACCAAAGTCGAATGCTTGACATACGGGGACGAATGATCGTTTTTATAGCCTTATCTACCCACGAAAACAAACCTCGTGGTTATGAAACTCTCAAAGATGTTCCCACGGTTACAGTCCATCATTAGATAACGGGTTGAGTTCGTCGTCTGCACAGTACACCCAACTGCGACCGTTATCTCCGGCACATAGCTACTACCTCCCTTATCCTACTACCTCCCTTATCCTACCACTCTCCCTATACTTCCAGCCTCCCTTATCCTACTACCCTTCCTTATCCTACTACCCTCTCTTATCCTACTACCCTCCCTATACTTCCACCCTCCCTTATCCTACTACCCTCCCTATACTTCCACCCTCCCTTATCCTACTACCTCCCTTATCCTACTACCTCCCTTATCCTACTACCCTACCTATACTTCCACCCTCCCTTATCCTACTACCTCCCTTATCCTACTACCCTCCCTATACTTCCACCCTCCCTTATCCTACTACCCTCCCTATACTTCCACCCTCCCTTATCCTACTACCCTCCCTATACTTCCACCCTCCCTTATCCTACTACCTCCCTTATCCTACTACATCCCTTATCCTACTACCCTCCCTATACTTCCACCCTCTCTCTGAACACTACCCTCCCTTATCCTACTACACTCCCTTATACTTCCACCCTCTCTTATCCTACTACCCTCTCTTATACTTCCACCCTCTCTTATCCTACTACCCTCTCTTATACTTCCAGGGGCGGTGGGGTAGCCCAGTGGTTGAAGCGTTGGCTCGTCACGCCGAAGACCCGGGTTCGATTCCCCACATGGGCACAATGTGTTAAGCCCATTTCTGGTGTCCCCCGCCGTGATATTGCTGGAATATTGCTAAAAGCGGCGTAAAACTAAACTCAGTCAGTCAGTCAGTCTCTTATACTTCCACCCTCCCTTATCCTACTACCCTCTCATATCCTGTTACCCTTCACTATACCCACCCTAACCTATCTGCTTGTATTTGTTTTAGGAACGAGTAATAATACACCTGACAGCCCCAGCGTGGGTGAGTCGCATGACCACGATGCCCTTCCCAATCACCCCTCTACCCCAACACCCCACCCCCACTCTTGGCCGTCACCCCACCCTATCAGGTCATATCCACCAACATTCCCTACACGATGTTATGTGCAGATTTGTGGCGGACGCTCCGTCAGTGTTAAATCCCAGTCTTATTTCAACAAGCGACTTAGGGTCTATTCAACAGTTGCTCAATAGGGAATCTCACTCAAGTAACTTTTGCTATCAAATATGTCAAACTCTGATACTTGCCGTGAAGTTGAAAAATATTTTCGACTAGAGTTTGAATACACTGTTTAAAAAGAAAGGAGAATATTTGATAACAAGCATTAGAGCACAGATGTTCACGACAGGCATCAGAAGCAAAACCGTAATATTCTTGAAAACGTAACACATTGTTTGGACGTGCCGCACGCAATAGCATCAGGCACGTGTGTAGGATGCCATTCTTGTTTTTGACACTTTCATGGAAATACTTGTGTTTGAATACACTTTTAATAGTAAACGGTAAATTTAATAAAAAATATTAGAGCACAGGTGAGTGTTGACGGTAGACATCGGAAGCAAAAACGTAATTATCCTGAAAAACTTAAACATCGTTTGCTCGTGCCGCACGCAGTAGCATCACGCACGTGCGTAGGACACTTGTTTTTGACACTTTCAGAGAAGCGCCATTACTGTCTGTGGACCATTATATGCTTCAATTTTGTTGATTGGTTCTTGGGATGCTGGAAACAAATTCACAGTCAGTGATTAGCATGACTATGATCAGGCAACGGCAAACCCAAAATAGACCTTCAGAGCTACCCAGTCAGGCAAGATCCAAGCATCCAAGGCAATAGTAAACTAGGCAATACGGAACCGCCCTCAAACGATGAGTCAATTGCTGAAAACTTTTCCCAGGGTCCTGGAGTACGAGTTTCGGGTGAGACGATTCGAAATCGTCTGCATGCAGCTCATCTTGATGCTCGACGGCCACGTTGTGGGGTGCCCTAACAAATCGTCATATTGCCTACAGACGTCAACAGAGTACACAACGTCGGTACTGGCGTCACCATCGCCAGTCAAGTGTCATGTTTACAGACGGGTTTACGCTGCACTTCACCTTGATAACTATGGTCCTGCCCGTCGTCGTCGAAATGAACGTCAACACACCACGACGGTGAATCGTTTTACTTTTATGTGGTGGTGGCGTTACGGCGACTGATCCCGACCTGATTTCCGGATCCTGGTGATATACACCTAGAATATGCACACAGACACGCGCGCGTGCACACACACATACGCACACACAAACACACGTGTGCTAATCTAGATAATAATGCATTAATAATACATAATAACACAGTCTCTATTTGACAAATTCCGTCAAAGAAAGTTGGAGAATGAGGACTATATTTATGGATATACTTCTTTATTCTGTATAGGCGACGTTTCGACATAGATTCTAATGTCGTTGTCACCACTTGCTTGTATATCCATAAAAATAGTCCTCATTCATCATCTACCCAACTTCTAGAATGCCAACCAAAGAAGTCAAAGAAAGTTGGGTTTGCCTATAGTTACACTTTATTTTCTTACTTCACAACTGATCATGGTGGGAATTCCCCTTCAAGTAGCAGTTGCTGGGTAATGACTTATTTAGAAACGTTTTTTGGTGACCAATGGAACAGTGTACTCGTCCCAGTTCCATTTCTTCATTTCAGGACGTATGGAATCCTCACAATTCCACATCAGCAGGTTAAATAGAGCGACAAAATCCTTTCCACATTCATAAGAACTCTCTGCTAAAAGCAGAGTGGATTGTACAATTGTGATTATATCAGGAGTATACATGTATATCTGTATCAGCAGTATTGCAGCTGTATGATGTTGTTTGTAGACAAATCGAGCCTGAACCAGACAATCCAGTGATTGTCACCAAGCGATACGATGACAGAGCATGTGTTTATGAATCACTATAAAACAGCGATGACACCTGGTGCTCGCAGTCCCCACCTCACTATATAACTACTGGCATATCAACCGGTTTGTCAAATACAGTAGACAGTTCAAACATGTCTGTCATGTCCAAATGAACTTTTGTATAAAGCCCCTTGACACAGCAGTTGGCATGTCTGAATCAACAGTTGTTTAACCAATACATCATTAATATCGTCTGTGTAATGTATGTAACTCCCATGCAGTGGGATAGAACTCCATTATCTGTTCAAATGCGAAGCTTTACTACTGCATAAACAAACAAATTTACCTTCTTACCTGAATTCAATTACTTTATGGAAAGTCAGCAAACTGTTCTCGTCTAAACAAACGCGTAATCTTAAAAAACTCGCTATGTATATTAATGTAATATTTAAGTCCACAAAGATACATTAACTTCTGGGGTTTTATGGGTTTGAGTTCTTTTGCCAATTTATATGAATATTCTAATTTTGTATTTTCATGTACCACCGTTGGTGGTGTTTCAAGAAATACACTGAGAGAAAGAAAGGACATTCAAGCGTTCCTTTAATATTTTCCAGTTTCCACCACCAGCTTTGTTTAGCGGTGTGGTGATGAAAACTGGAAAATAATAAAGGAACGCTTGAATTTTCCTGTGATCCTTTATTTCTTTCTCTCAGTATATATTGAATTGAATTGACAACCCGACGTGATCACTTCGTCAACACACCCACTTGTCCACTCCCTTTACCCGTTCCCGAAATGACCATAACTAAACTACAGCCAGCCAAACAACCCTAACTATAACACGGGATAGTACACGTCCTTCCTAACTACCGATAGTTCTATTTCAGTTTCACAACAAACTCCCATGCCTAGCAACCTTATCTCATGACAAAACCATTGCACACGGCTGCATAAGTTCCGATGACGCCATTATATTTCGCAATTGTTCCTAGCGGGAGTATATTTATGTCCTCTTATGTAGCTATACCAGTATACTCCCCTCAGGCGGTATCTGCGACAGGTATATTGACATGTGTGTGTGTGTGTGTGTGTGTGGACTAAACCAAGAAATGGAGATTCAAATTGTAATCACTGACAGAGACTACTTGTGTTCAGTGGGACTACGGACATGTTTGGAACGTTAGAAAAGCAGCATATAACTGAGCTGACTTCACGATTTTCAGAGAATTCAAACTAATTCGGACATATTATAATTTTGTCAAAGGATTTACTTTGCAAATAATTTAAATGTTTAAATGTTTGCTTTTTACAGCCGTTCACGTACCAGATACGTACTTGCTACAACCTGTGACACAGGAAATACAATTATATTACATTATTTCAGAGACTTCCAACTAAAATGATATAGATTTATTTTTCTTTGATATTGTGTGCTCACTTTTCGGAAAATTATGGTTTAAGATGGTTATTATACAATCACGATTAATGGGAGAGATAAAAGTAGTTCCTTGTAATCTACCACATTTGCCTCATTTTCATTTTAATTATGACAAATGGGCGTGTCAGAATATCAGAAACATCTAGCCTTTCCTGTTTACTTCCAGTAGCAGTCTGCACCTCTCGTCACCTTCACAACAATGGCGGTCGTCACTCAGCCCACGGGAAACCCCAACCTCCTGGTCAGACCGGAAGGTCACCGAGACTGGTCAACGGGCAAGTTCGGCTGTGCCACCGACTGCGGCTCGTGTAAGTAACCCATGGCCAGATGATGAAACACCTATCCAAGCAAACCAGATCCAACATCTGTATTATCAGTACAAGCTAAATTATATGAGAGCACCTGTTTCATGTACTTCCACCATTGTCGCTATATATTCCTAAAATAATTATTCATTAAATATGAAAAAGAAGTTATTTGAAATGACTGTCGAATTTCAATATGCAAACCGAAACATGAGTCTCATTAACCTATTCAGACAATGACCTACTTTTCAGCCGATCTGAATTTTCTCGTGTGAAAGTGAAAATAGACATCACAAACAACTATGGTTACACTGAATTCCAATTCCTTGTTTCATAAGAAAAAATATTTCCACGATTTCCAGATTTCCGTTTGTCAGGGCACACTGTACGACAGAGCACGCTGCACGACGCGTTTGCAAGGATCTGAAGGAGCGTAGTGTAGCAATATACAATTGTTAGATGTATCAAATAATACTGATTAATATTTATATATCCAGTTAAATGAATTGGTTTCAAACTTCTGGACTGGTTATTGTACTAAGTTGCGCAATAGGACGGGACCCAATCAACAGGAAACGCGACTGTTGTGTAATCAATGTTTTGACGTGTAACGGAAGAGAATTACACGAACATAATTACTTTAAGTTTAATCATCTGCGAGCACCTGTTTCATGTACTTATGGAATACTGTAAGGGACATTCTCGCGATCTCGACCTTTGGAAACAAGCTAAAAATGCCAAAGTGCGAGAACGCGTGATTTGGCCTGATCGCTGTTTATTAATAAAATAATTATTATTATTAAATGGCATGAAGTTGATTGAATCGAATGTGTCGAATTTTGGTCTGATAAGGTATAAGAGCTCTATTAAATTACTATATGTTGAATTATTTGAAAGCACCTCTTCCTTTCATGTATAAGCATGATCGCAGTTTCTACTTAACATAGTTATTCATATTTATTCAGAAGACGTTAATTGAATCGAATGTGTCGAATTTTGGTCTGATAAGGTATAAGAGCTCTATTAAATTACTATATGTTGAATTATTTGAAAGCACCTCTTCCTTTCATGTATAAGCATGATCGCAGTTTCTACTTAACATAGTTATTCATATTTATTCAGAAGACGTTAATTGAAACGGATTTGTCGAATTTCGATCTGATAACGGAAAAGAGTTCCACAACCGGATAGTTAATGGGATGATTGTCTTATTCTTGTGAACAGAACGCTGATGTTTTCAGTCAAGTTAGAATATATGTGAATATTTTGCAGCGACGCATTCTGGTACTTATCTGTCAGATAAGACGGACTCACAGATCAATTTTGAAGAAAAGAAAAAGTTTACGTTTCTTCCCACATATCGTCGTGGTATCATGAATATCTGGAAACGAATGATTCATTCCAACATACTAGTACATTAATACCACGTCAGTGCCTTTCATTGGATAGAGACCAGTGAAGTGCCGTGTTAGAATTGATCTTCAGTAAACCATGCTTCTCGTAATAGGCGACTAACGGGATCGGTTGTCAGGCTTGCTGACTTGGTTGACACATGTCATTATATCCCAATTTCGCAGATCGATGCTCATGCTGTTGATCACTGGATTGTCTGGTCCAGACTCGATTATTTACAGACCGCCGCCATATAGCTGGAATACTGAGTGCGGCGTAAAACTAAACTCACTCACTCACTCAATGGATAGAGGTTATGAGACTGTAGTCACAAGTCTAGGGGAGATAACTCTCATTTCTTATATTCTTGCCAGGTGTGCTGTTTTGTTGTTGTATTGTAAACGTCAATTGACTCAACATGACTGATTAGAAACTGTATACCACTAATATGTTGTATTGCTGAGTTGAGGGCCTCCTTGACGAGAAGGGCATTTATAGTAATAAAGTTATCATATAGCGAGGTGACGTACGTTTCAGTAAACGTGATGTCGCACTCTAAAAGGATGTAAAACTGTTTACAATGGTGTTGCGATTGTTGCTACGGTACACATATCCCCATGATCAAGTTCGCTGAATATTACTGTCCAGGTCTCTGCACATGGTGTTGTCTGCCGTGCATGCTGTGCCGCCTTGCCGAGAGAATGGATGAATGCTGCATGATGCCCTTCTGTGTTCTCGGATCTCTTGTTGCTATGAGAACCAAAGTCAGAACCATGGGTGGGATTTCGGTAAGTTGCAACGACGCTAACCCCAATGAAACACTGGTGACTTGTGTCCCCTAGCCGTACCAGGATTCGCCGCACGATTATATATTTGCCAGTAAATTTCTTCAGTGCGGTCCAATAGTGACCTGGGAATTTAACCTTAGTCCTTCCGCTCTTGGGTCTCGGATCCCTTTGTCCGACAACCGACATGTTAACAGAGTCTCACTTTGAGACTTGAGAAGCATGTGCACTCCACTATTACAAAATCAGCGATCTGCCGCTGGGCTTAAGAATGAATGAATGAATGAATGAATGAATGAATGAATGAATGAATGAATGAATGAATGAATGAATGAATGAATGAATGAATGAATGAATGAATGAATGAATGAATGAATGAATGAATGAATGAATCCAATCCCCATTTCATCTCTTCCTTTTCCAGGGTTCAATCTGTAAAGATTGTCTTTCCGTTGCTTGCTGTGGACCATGCATTGTGTGCCAGATGTCTCGTGAGATGGACAACATGGGCCTGTAGAGTTCCATGCTAACTCATGAGATTATCTGATTTTAAAAGTTTAAACTGTTTCGTTGTAAATTGTTCCTTTTAACTGCCATTTGTTTTGATTGTTGTTTTAGTTTTTGTTTATCCAACAAATGATAAATGCATTAAAATAAAATAAAAGTAACATGGGAAATTAAAACAAAACACGTTATTTCTTCCACCCATAGAACAGTTGTTATGCTGTTGAACAATATTTCACCCATATGTATTGCGGGAAAATACCGCATTGTTCCAAGCACAAATCCTTGACTACTATTTCACTTTCCATATCCAGACTGAATCTTATATATTGTTACAATATTTAGTACCTTTCAGAATATGTTTTTATTCAATAATCTACAAAGAGTCCATTTGTTCTGATAATCCATGCTGTAAGCCATTAACAAAATCACAAACCATTCGGATGAAAGGTCCACCTTCGAACATCGTTACTATCAAGTCATAAAATATTACAATCATATTCATGGTTTGTTTCTGTGTCTCATAGAGCCTCCCATTTGCTAACATATTGTGGAATACACCTGAAGTTTTCCCAATTAGTAATTTAAGCCTGTGGTCAGCCTAGGGGTGCCAAAGGTTTGCTCTGTCGCAACTGAAGGTACGGCTTCGGTCCTCACATGTGTACAATGAGCGAGACCCAATTTGTGGAGCCCACCCCAGAAGCCTCATGTGGTGTCCCCCGATAGTGTTCCCTCTAGGATGGTGCTGGCAGGGTGACTTCAAAGAAATGGGCAATCTCCAAAAATTGTAAAGGCATTCCACAGGGTGATTATCAGCACACAATGAAATTGGGTCTCATCTATAAGGCAAAGTATTATTATATTTCTCTCATTTATTACTTTTCCCCATTTGTATTTCAAAAAATTTTGGAAAAAGCATCAACGTTTATTAATCTGTTATCACATTTTGACGGGCCGTCGTGTGTAAAACTGACCCACTCACTCACTCACCCCACTCACTGATATATACTCACTCCACTCACTCACACGTATTTGTGTTGCATTTTATCACCTCATTTTATCCAGTCTTAGTGACATGAGAGAAACGTTTTAATGGCATCTTACAATTAGGAAAGATGTTTTCGACATTAAAATGTGTATATATGCCATAGTCAATTGTGGGACCACTTTAGTTATTACATTTGACAAATATTTTAACTCCACAAATGTCATGGTGAAGCCTATCAACGCCTGTTGCCATGGGGAGGATCTCTTTATACCTTAGTATGACTCACCTCTACCCATTAGTGTCTGGGATTCTTAAAAAGTATAGCCTTCTATAATTTTATCGAAATAAAAAGAGATTCAGCCTCAGTCTCTAATTCTTCGACCTGTGTATCTTAATTGCCAACGTGTACCTTACAATTCTGACAAGTAAGAGTAAATAACAGGGGTGCATAGAAACCTTCTGTGTTGAAGAGAACCAACAGAGATGGGAGATTCCTGAACCAGGGATACATTTAGGGACTCTCAGTATTGGTCATGCCTGTCCATTGTCAACCAGAGCACAAAACCGGTACTTGTGAGTTAGATAATCCTGAGTGTCTTCTGTTATTTTTTACTTCTCTGGTTCATTCTCTAGAAGTAGTGACGTTGATCGGGTCTGTCCTCCACCTCCTGTCCTACTAGTTCTTCCACCCTCTGTCCTACTATCTCCTTCTTTTATACTCTCCACCTCTCTTATCCTACTACCTCTCTCATACTTCAACCCCTCTCTTATTGTCCCACACCTCCTATATCCTGGTTCACTGTACTTCCAATCTCCATTATCCTGTACTACCCCTCTTTATGTACTTCCAACTCTCCCTTATCCTACTACTCCTCCCTTTATACTCTCAACCTCTCTTTATTGTCCCACACTCCCATATCCTGTGTGGTTCCACCCTCCTTATCCTACTACACTCTCTTTATACTTCCCAATCCCCTATCATCCCACCCTTCATCCTCCTCTTTATACTTCCAACCTCTCCTTATCCCCACTCACCTCTTCTTCATACTTCCCAATCTCCCCTTTATCCTACTTGTACTTACTTCTTATATTTCCACCCTCTCTTATCCTACTACCTCCCTATACCTCCAACCTCTCTTATCCTACTACCTCCTCCCTTTTATACTTTTACACCTCTCTTATCCTGTACTACCTCCCTTTTATACTTCTACCCTCTTCTATCCTACTTCACCTCCTCTTTATACTTCCCAACCTCTCTTATCCTTACTCACCTCCCCTTATACCTCCACCCTCCTCCTTATCCCACTACCCTCTCTTATAAGTACTTCTCAACTCCCTCCTATCCTGTACTCACTCTCTCCCTTTCATACCTTAACTCTCCCTTATCCTGCTACTACCCTCCTTCTTTATACTTCCACCCTCTCTTATCCTACTACGGCTACTTCCAACGTCCTTCTTTATCCTACTGCTCCTCCTTATATACTTCCACAAACCCTTCCCTTTATCCTACTACCCTCCCTTTATTCTTCAACCCTTCCTTTATCCGCATTACCACTCCCCTCTTTTATACTCCAATCCTCCCTCTTATACTTCCACCTCCACTCATCCTCCCATCCTGTTGTCACCTTCCTATACTTCCAATCTCTTATCCTACTACTGTCCCAAACCTCTCTTCATCCTATCACTATCCCTCCCTTTATACTTCTCCAATTCCACATCCTGTCACCTCCCTATTCTCCTGCACTACCTTATCCTACTACCCTCCCTTCTTTATACTTCCACCCCTCCATATCCTACTACCCTGCCTATACTTCTCCACCCTCTCTTATCCTGTACTACGCTCCTCTTTATACTTCTAACCTCTCTCTTGTGTCCTCCTACTGTATTATTTCTCTTCTTCTTGTCCTAATACTCACCCTTCCTGTTTCCTTATACTTCCCAATCTCCTTATCCCAATACCCTCCCTTATAATTTCCACCCTCTTCATTATCCTGGCCACCTTCCTTTGCTCCAATGTCCGGTTCCCTTATACTTCCCACCTCTCATTATCCCACTACCCTGCCTTATACCTCCACCTGTCCTACCACCTCCTCACAGATACCTCCCCAATCTGTTGTCCTACTTCATCTTCCTTGTCTACCACCCTCCCTTATCCTACTCACCCTCCCTTATACTTCTCCACCCTCCTTATCCTACTACCCTCCCTTTATACTTCCACCCTCCCACCCTCCCTTATACTTCCACCCTCCCTTATACCTCCCAATTATCCTACTACCCTTCCCTTATACTTCCACCCTCTCTTATACTTACACCCCCTCCTTATCCTACCACCCTCCCTTATACTTCCACCCTCCCTTATCCTACTTCACTCCTCTTATACTTCCACCCTCTCTTATACCTACCACCCTCCTTACACCCTCCCTTATCTTACTATCCCTCCCTAATACCACTACACCTACTCCCTTATACTCTCCACCCTCCTTTATCCTACTACCTCTCTACCTCTTATACTTACACCCCTCCCTTATCTTACTACCCTCTCTTATACTTCCATCCTCCCTTATCCTACTACCCTTCCTTATACTCCTCTCCTCTATCCTACTACTCTCTCCTTATCCTACTACCCTCCCTTATACTTCCATCCTCCCTTATCCTACTACCCTCCCTTTATACTTCCACCCTCTCTTATCCTTACTTCACCCCTTATACTTCCACCCTCCCTAATCCTACTACCCTCCCTTTATACTTCCATCCTCCTTTATCCTACTACCCTCTCTTATACTTCCACCCTCCCTTATCCTACTACCCTCTCTTATACTTCCATCCTCCCTTATCCTACTACCCTTCCTTATACTTCCACCCTCTCTAATCCTACTACCCTCCCTTATACTTCCACCCTCTCTTATCCTACTACCCTCCCTTATACTTCCATCCTCCCTTATCCTACTACACCCTCTTATACTTCCACCCTCTCTTATCCTACTACCCTCCCTTATACTTCCACCCTCTCTTATCCTACTACCCTCCCTTATACTTCCACCCTCTCTTATCCTACTACCCTCTCTTATACTTCCACCCTCCCTTATCCTACTACCCTCCCTTATACTTCCACCCTCCCTTATCCTACTACCCTCTCTTATACTTCCACCCTCTCTTATCCTACTACACTCCTCTTATACTTCCACCCTCCCTTATCCTACTACACTCCCTTATACTTCCACCCTCCCTTATCTGCTCGTATTTGTTTTAGCAACGAGCAGTGAGACATATGACAGCCCCAGCGTCACCCCACTACCCCCACCCCGACGCCTGGTCGTCACCCGACCCTGACACCTGTCGTCACCCCACCCCGACACCTGATCGTCACCCCACCCCGACACCTGGTCGTCACCCCACCCTGACACCTGTCGTCACCCCACCCCGACACCTGGTAGTCACCCCACCCTACCAGATCCTATACGCCAATATTCCTTACACGACTTGTTATGTGAAGATTTGTGGCGGACGCTCCGTCAGTGTTAAATCCCAGGCTTATATCAACGAGCGACTTAGGGTCTATTCACCTTACTGTATTCACGAGCACACTTTGAAAACAGTTGCTCTATATGGAATCTCACTCAAGTTACTTTTGCTATCAAATATGTCAAACTCCGATACTTGCCGTGAAGTTGAAAAATATTATCGACTAGAGTTTGAATACACTGTTAAAAAGAAAGGAGAATATGTGATAACAAGTATTAGAGCACAGATGTTCACGACAGGCATCGGAAGCAAAACCGTAATAATCTTGAAAACGTAACACATTGTTTGGACGTGTGTAGGATGCCATTCTTGTTTATAACACTTTCATGGAAAAGCCATTATTGTATGTGAACCATAATGGCATTATTTCTTTCAGTTTTGTTGATTGGCTCTTTGGATGCAGTTAGACGCCAGTGCAATGGCCCTAGACTAACGCTTAGTCTCTAAATATATATATTTGGTAGTAACAAACAAATCCATTTAAATTGAAAAGGAGCTCCAGGGAGAGT